CACAGAAAATGGGGGGCAGCCGCATGCATCATGGACGTACGAGCGACATCCATGACCATGCCAATGCGGCGCTCAGCAATCCCATTTTGCTGTGGTGAGTCCGGAAGCGTGAAGGTCTGGCGGATCCCCCGTGCACGACAGTAGTCTCGCAGAAGGCGAGAGGAGAACTCTCCGCCTCTGTCCGAGTGCAGACGCAGAACAGGAAAGTCAGAGCCGAAGCTCTTCCTGAGCTGGAGACGAGCCTCGCGGATCCAGTCGATCAGCACCTCAGTGACGGCACCCTTGCTGCGCAAGGGGAGGACTGTGGTGTAACGCGAGTAGTCGTCAACCACCAACAGGAAGTAGCGCTCGTAACCCTGCCCACGGACGGGGGCCGGGCCCCACACATCCATGTGAAGCGTCTGCAGCGGAGCCTCTGTCGGGGGGAAGTGGGAAGAGTGAGGAGTAGCCCGGAGGCGACCCTCGACACAGGGGACACAGGAAGGCCCTGGCCCGGGGGGGGGAGGAGGGAGAGACCGGGGAAGACCAGAGACAAGGACACGGGAAGCCATGCTCCGAAGACGAGCCAAGGAGGGGTGGCCTAGACGGTGGTGCCACAGGAGAGTCTCGTGAGACAGGAGGCGACAGGAACAGGGGGCAGACTCAGGACCTGACCGGGACGCAGCAGCAAACACCTGACCTGACGCAGCTACCTGACCAGACACAGGGACAGGAGGAGACGAAGTGGTCAGGGTGTAGAGACTCGACCCCGGCCGACGCGAAAAGGTGGCCAGGTGTCGGCCTGTGTTTGCGTCCGTGCAGTGGGTCACCCGCCGCCTCGCAGGAGTGAACTGGTGAACCCCCGCATCCTGTAGGTCCGCACCACTCACCAAGTTCGTAGAGAACGAGGGAAGGTACAGACCAGACAGGGTGCCCGAAGGGGCAGCCGGACACGGGAGGACAGTGGAGAAGTGAGAAAGGACAGGACCCCCAGAGGGGTCAGCAAGGGAGACCGCAACCGGTCGGCCAAGTGGCGTGAGGGTAGTGCGGTCTCGAAAGAAGGAGCGAGAAGCCCCAGAGTCAAGTGTGAAAGTGAGGGAGGACGAGGGCGACGCAGTACCTGAGAGCGCAGTCTCACCAGCACCTGAGAGCGCAGTCTCACTAGTACCTGAGAGCGCAGACGCACTGGCACCTAGAGCAGCAGCCTCACAAGTACCTAGGGCAGCAGTACCAATGCCCGGGTCGGGCTGGAAACACCGGTAACCCTCATTCTCCTCACTATAAGTCACAGCATACATAGCAGAAAGGATAGCATCAAAATCAAGATCAAAGATCGCTACACCAGCCCTAAGGAGCTCATCCCAGCGAGGGATCTCACTAGCCCCGGGGAACTGCTGACGCCAAGCGTCCGTCAGGCGGCCAAAGCAGCGCTGGGTGGAGTGGGCACCCCCACACTGCTCACCCGCGCGGTCGCCGGAACGAAGAACGTAGGCGCAGGGACCAGTACCCCCACCCCTCTGACGCGCAGTGTACCACTCACGAAGCTGCTGAGGCGGAGGGATGTCCCGCGAACGCTGCTGCTGCTGCCGCTGCGAGCGCTGGCCACCACCACCGCCGCTCCGCTGCTGGGTACCACCACGACCAGCTCCACCTCCTCCACCACCACCGCCTCCTCCGCCGCCGCCTCCACCGCCTCCACCTCCACCGCCTCCACCTCCACCGCCTCCACTCCCGCTGCTGCCTCCACCACCACCGGTGCCACCACCACCACCGTCTCCGCCGCTGCTGCCACCACCACCACCACCACTACCACTACTCCCGCCGCCACCCCCACTCCCTCCGCCGCCTCCGCCGCCACCGCCACCGCCCCCTCCAGCTCCGCCCGCGCCCTTGCCCCCCTTGCCCTTGCCAGAGCGACGTCTCCCACTAGGGGCAGACGCCGCGCCGACCGACTCAAGACCAAGCAGGTCGGCCGCAGCAGCAGAGGCAACAGAGGGCAGCAAGGGGGAAGGAGAGCACCCCTCAAAGATGGGGGTGCGAGGGTCACCACGAGAGGCACCGACAGCGACTATGCTCTTCTCCGCTGCGAGGAGGGCCTTCTCGAGGAGGTCGACGGTGAGAGTGGTGGGACAGACTGCGAGAAAGTGGTCCCTGACTACGCGGAGGGAGTCAGGGAGGCGTGCGACTACGTAGTAGAGAGTGATGTACATGGGGGGGGGGTTCTTAGTGCAGAACTCAGCAGGAAGGGCGGCGCGGTAGCGAGTGTCACTAGTGCGGAGGTGCGTAATGAGGTCAGCGACAGTGGGAAAGGCAGAGAGGTCAGGAAAGAGGTAGGGAAGCATGAGACGGCTCAGTGCAGCAGTGGCAGGAGAGGAGTAGCGTGCAACTACAGCGTCGTACAAGGTCTGAGCACTCTTGTACTGACTAAAATGCGGAGCGTGCAATTACTAGCCATGCAAATCTGCCTCGAGAAGGGCTTTTCCGCAAACTCGACGACACATGTCCAGCCCAGTCTCCAGGAACTTTTCTGACCACTCCACCGCAGCAAGCCATCCACATCCACAGTGCACTTCCAAGGCTACACGCCATGGTTTGTGTGTCGCGACTCGCGAGTGGTGTGGGGGTGCTTTGTTGGGGTGGAGTGCTCTGGGTTTGGATGGCTTGGAGTGAGGTGGAGAGAACCTGATGGCTGTTGGAATATATATTGCACTGCCTGCGTGGGCAAGAAAAAAAATATATATACCCCACATGGAAGGCATGCAACTCAGGAGGCATCAATCCTAGGGACGTGGGCCCGATCGACTTTGATCGGCTCGGATCTGATCGGGTTGGATTGGATCGAATTGCTTGTGATCGTTTTTATCGCGCCGCCCGATCAGAATTGATTTTCCTCGAATATTTTGCGCTCTTGAATTACAACCGGTAATTACCTGGTAATTACTTTGGCGAGATGGACGAATCCAGGTATCGTGGTAATGTCGCAAATATCGCACTGCGCACAGGGTCCGCTCCAGAACAGTTCTCGCTGGTCTGTATGCATGAGCGAGGATTTTCGAGACCTCATGGCGAGGCGTGTTACATGTCCCTTCCATCGTCCAGTGCCCCGATCACATGCAATCAAGTGATCGGGGCAGATTGTGTCTGATCGGGTCTGATCGGGCTGTTAGAGGCGGCTGATCGAGTTGACGCGATCAGCTGATCGCGACCAGCGGATTGCCCCCGATTACCTGAAATTAGCTTCCAGCCTTCCTCGAAGTTATTAACTGCCTCTGATCGCGCCGATCAAAGTTAATCGATACCATGTCCTAAACTTTTAGGGTTGAGGCTCCCGAGTTGCATGCAGTCCGATTGGGTTTTAGTTTTTTTCTAGCCCGGACGATCCGGGCCCTTGTGAAAAAGACCCTGTATAATCCGAACCAGGGGAAAAAAAGCCTTGACGAATCCGAGTTCTAGTCAGAAAAGGCCTGAAGACCTGCATTACCAAATTTTCGCGAGATGGGTAAGAGATCGAGAAACTCACGGTACTAGGGGCTGGGGAGGTTGGGCATGTAGGAGCAGCTCTAGAGGGTTGGAGGGAGACTTTTTGCTCTGGAAGAGTCAAGTCTAACCCGTTGCTACGTAGGACGGGGCAGCCAGACACTTGAAGGCCAAACCAGGAGCGAGTGGTAAGGAAATTCCCTAAAATTGGCCCACGCATAGTACACGGGGAGAGGAGGGGAATGCAAAGCAGGTCGAGGAGAACAAATGTTGCTAAAACTACGGGTACCCTCAGAAACAACCCGGAGGGTCCGAGTTTCTCAAGAAATCACCCTTCAGTTTTACGGGCCTGATTAAACAACACCTAGTTAAAATCAGGGCTGGCCTTCAAAACAGGATAATTTGCCTGCTAACGTGAGCCCTGCTACCGACACTACCAAGTGAGATGTATTGCGTGAGGTTGCCTTCCCTGCCTGTTAACAGAAAACCCTTTTGGCGCATTAGCGGAGCAAAACCCTTTTCGGTTGGGTCCTTCGGGTTTGGAAAGGAAAGAATCCCCCGTGTACTGTACTGTTCAGGCATCGGCCTCCAGCCCCCAACCCAACCAATCTCCCCCTAGCCTCTTGCCTTATACTTTCATTTTCGGTGCCTTCAAAGCGGTGCAGCTTTCCTTCCAACCACCATACAAACCTTTCTCCCTAGTCCGCCATGGCTAGGTATCAAGAAGCGCAGAGGTTGTTTAGATTTTGAATAGGATCCATGTGGAAGCAAAAGTCCGGATACGTTTACTAAGCTGTTATGGCTCCCTTAAAGCTCGCGTCTCCAATTACACCCTTCCATCCAAGTGTTAAACGCTTGATATAGGGTAACAGACTGCTTTGTCGCAAAGTACACCCAGGCAAGGGTTTAGATTCGGGAAAGTGTGGGTGGGGTGGTTTGGGATTGCAACGTGCACTGTAATTGGGTAAGCAAATACGCCAAAGCAGGTTGGATTGGCAAACTCACCTGCGCGACAAACAAAGCTGAGAATGCGCTTATCGTGCGACAACGGGACCGTCGCCCTCTCGTCCCTGCAAACCAAGCGTTTTACGGAGCTCAGAAATATGAGACTGGGAACTCGTCAATATCTCAAAAGGCACTCTGCACCAAGTGTTTTACCTCCCTCGACACATGTCCCCGACTGGAGCACGACGAACGCAAAGTGGTTAGAAAGCCTCACCCAAAACCTCGATGCCCCACACTTCGTATGCCCATCATGACCTACACTGCTACAATCTTATTCGCATTCGACAAAAACGGGACCTGTCATAGACTATAGACCGCCATCTCTATCCCTGGAGCAGGTAACAGCCCACGCCGCGCTGCCCCGAACCGGCTTTCATCGCACAAACGCCCGACCCTTGATTAGGTGAGCCTAATCAATTTGCGGGAGATTACCCCTCCAGAAATGAGAGGCAGAATTAGACTTGGGGTGAGAGGCGGAATGAGCGGCGGAATGAGAGACGCACTGAGAGGCGGTGTGAAGTGCGGAAGCAGGGGCGGAATTATAGGCGGAATGAGAGGCGGAATGTGAGGCGGAAGGAGAGGCGGAAAAAGAGGCAGAACGAGAGGCGGAACGAGAGGCGGAACGAGAGGCGGAACGACAGGCGGCGTGAGAGGCGGGATGAGAGGCGGATTGAGAGGCGGGATGAGGCGAATAGATAGGCGTAATGAGAGGCGTAATGAGAGGCGTAATGAGAGGCGTATTGAGGGGCGGAAAGAAACCCGGAATGAGAGGCGACGCGAGAGGCGGAGTGAGATGCGGAAGGAGGGGCGGAATGAGAGGCGGAAGGAGAGGCGGCTTGAGATGCGGAATGAGAGGCGGACCGGGGAAGGGAGGAGCAGCGAGAGGGGGAAGGGACGAGCTGTGATATGGGGAATGGAGATGCTGTGTGTGGGAAGTGAGGAGCTGTGAGAGGGGGAAGGTAGGAGCTGTGGGTGGGGGAAGGTAGCAGCTGTGAGAGGGGGAAGGGAGATGCTGTGGGTGGGGGAAGGGAGATGCTGTGGATGGGGGATGGGAGGTGCTGTTAGAGGGGGAAGGGAGGTTCTACTAGAGAGGGGGAAGGGAGGTGAGATGGGTGGGGGAAGGGAGGTGCTGTGAGAGGGGGAATGGGTGGGGGAAGCGATGTGAGGAGGGTGGGGGAAGGGAGGTGCTGTGAGAGGGTGAAAGAGGTGATGTGTGAGTAGGGTTGGGAGTTGCTGCTACAGGGGGAAGGGAGGTGCTCGCCGTAAGGAAATAGGCCAAATGAGTGACGCGTGAAAGGCGCACAGGCTGCCGGTGAGCGCGCGGACACCTCCCCCCAAGGGTCGCGCACCCAGCTGTAGGCAGCGCGCACACCGAAAGCAGCTGAGTGTGCCCCGCTGTAGGCATCTGGCGCCTCTTTAGCATCAGCGCTCATGCGACTGTAATTTCACGCGCCACCAAGGCATATGCGCGCATACCGGCAGCATTAGCCATGAGCCTACTAAACATCAGCGCCCAAACCACAGTAATGCAACGAACCCCCTTTCTCAAAAGCGCAACCACGTCAGTCGGCACCACGCGCCTTCAAAACTGCTGCGCGCAAAACACCCACACACGCGTATAGCGCCTGCTCTGACAGGGGGAAGGCTGAGAGGACGGAGGGGGGGAGAAGGTGCGTTGAGAGGGGGAAGGAGGAGAGGACAGAGGTGGGGAGAAAGTGCACTTAGATGGGGAATGAGGAGAGGACAGAGATGGGGAGAAGGTGCACTGATAGGGGGAAGGATGAGAGGACAGAGGGGGGGAGAAGGCGAGGACAGAGGGGGGAAGGAAGTTGCTCCAATAGGGGAAAGAAGGAGAGGGCAGAGGGGGGATGGTAGGTGCTCCGATAGGGGACAGATGGGGGAAAGAATGTGCGACGACAGAGGGGGGAAGGAAGGTGCTCCGATAGGGGAAAGAAGGAGAGGGTAGAGGTGGGGGAGAAGGTGCACTGAGAGGGGGAAGGTGGAGAGGAGAGGACAGGGGGGGGGAGAGAGGGTGCGTTGAGAGGGGGGAGGAGAGGACAGAGGTGGGGAGAAAGTGCACTTAGATGGGGAATGAGGAGAGGACAGAGATGGGGAGAAGGTGCACTGAGAGGGGGAAGGATGAGAGGACAGAGGGGGGGAGAAGGCGAGGACAGAGGGGGGAAGGAAGTTGCTCCAATAGGGGAAAGGAGAGGGCAGAGGGGGGATGGTAGGTGCTCCGATAGGGGACAGAGGGGGGAAAGAATGTGCGACGACAGAGGGGGGAAGGAAGGTGCTCCGATAGGGGAAAGAAGGAGAGGGCAGAGGTGGGGGAGAAGGTGCACTGAGAGGGGGAAGGTGGAGAGGAGAGGACAGGGGGGGGAGAGAGGGTGCGTTGAGAGGGGGGAGGAGAGGACAGAGGTGGGGAGAAAGTGCACTTAGAGAGGGGATGAGGAGAGGACAGAGATGGGGAGACTGTGCACTGAGAGGGGGAAGGAGGAGAGGACAGAGGTCCTGTGAGAGGGGAAGGGAGGTGCTTGATGGGGCAATGCAACGATGTTAGATATGGAAGAGAGGTGCTTACAGAGGGGGTAGGGAGATAATGTCATAGTGGGAATGGAAAAGAGGACTGAGGGGGAAGGGAGGTTCTGCGAGATGGGGAAGGGAGGTGCTGCGAGGTGGGGAAGGGCGGTGCTGGCCGGGGGGAGTTAGGCGGTGTTGGGGTGGGTTAGGGAGGTGCTGGCAGGGGGGGATGCAACGATTTGAGAAGGGGAAGAGAGGTGCCGAGGTAGGGGGAAGGGATGTGCTGTGAGAGGGGGAAGGGAGGTGCTGAGAGAGGGGGGAGGGAGGTGCTGAGAGAGCAGAAGAAGGTAGGTACTGGCCGGGTGGAAATAGGGACTCCTGTCATCATTGTCCCCTATGCTCCCTCTCATACCCCCATTTGCCTGTCATCATTTTCCCCTATGCTCCCTCCCATACCCCAATTCGCCTGTCATCATTTTCCCCTATGCTCCCTCCCATACCCCCATTTGCCTGTCATCATTTTCCCCTAAGAGATGGAAAGGTGCATAGGAACGTGGAAGGGAGTTGGTGACCCTTGGGGAATGTAGGCAAACAGGGGAGGGGGACAGGAAGGTGACAGAGGGGGGTAATCGAGGTGCGTGTAATGGGAAATGAAGCTGCTGGCACGGGGTTTGGAGTTGATGTGAGAGTCAGACTGGGAGTGCGATCAGAGAGGCAAGATAAGTGCTAGAAGAAAGGGGAACGGAGTTGCGGCGCGCGGGGTTGATAGGTTTAGGGAGGGAGTAGGGATTCGTGGGAACACTTTATTCAACGTGCAAAGGGGAAAATGATAGTAGTAAGTATAACACATGAAAGCCGGAGGAGCATATAACCCGTAAGCACTAAACTAAAATTGTACCCTGCTCGGGCCGGGTGGAAGTGACCCCTTGGAAGGGTGAGGAGGTGCTGTGAGAAGGGGAAGGGAGGTGGGAGAGGGGGAAGGGAGGCGGGAAGGGTGGTGCTTAGTGAGGGTTAGTGGAGGTGCTGGCAGGGGGAAAGAGATGATATGTTAGTGGAGGGGCTGACAGAGGGGGATGGGATGCTGTGTGTGAGGTGCTGTCTAGGGGGAGGGCAAGGATGTGACAGGGGGTAGAGTGGTGCATAGAGAGGGGGAAGGGAGCGTAGGTCAGAGATTGTGAAGGGAGGGAGCGTAGGTCAGAGATTGTGAAGGGAGGGAGCGTAGGTCAGAGATTGTGAAGGGAGGGAGCGATGAGGGGTGTTCAGGTGAGATAGGAGGTAGAAGATAGGTATATTCAGAGGTGAGTTTTAGGGTGTTGACTAGGTACATCTAGAGGCGGTCGCGAGTGATAGCATAGTCTAACGCCCATGCCCTTTCTGTGGTGACCAACCAGAGCCTATCACCTCCTCTCCTCTCACTCCCTCTCTCTCTCTCTCCCTCTCTCCTCCTTGCCTGCCCTCTCCCGTACTGCTACGCACCCTTGGTGTACCCCATTATGGGGGCGTTGACTGCATATTCTTCCCTACAGGCACTTATGGGGGCGTGTCAGAATAATATATAAATCTATATATTGTTTTGTAATTGCCTGTAGTGTAGACTAGTGTAGTTATATAATGTTTTGTTTTGGTGGTGCACCTTTCATCTTGCCTATATGTACTGCTCGCTCTATAGTGAAAAAAACCTCTTCTCTTTTCAACTCTCTTGATACCTCGCCTAGGAGCAACTCACTCGAACTCAACCAAGGCTCCTAAGCCTAACTCTTCCTAGTAATTTCGATATGCTATCAGAGTGACAAGGTCCTGACCTGTGGGCCCCACTTTAAAGCTTCCGCTGCTACTCTGTGTTTGGCACGCCCCGTGGCGTGCCCCTTATTCGCTTCTAGCGGCCCCGCCACCCAGTCGCGGCCCCGCTACCCCTTCGCGCGGCCCCGCCACTTCGTCGCGGCCCCGCCACCCCTTCGAGCGGCCCCGCCACTTCGTCGCGGCCCCGCCACCCCTTCGAGCGGCCCCGCCACTTCGTCGCGGCCCCGCCACCCAGTCGCGGCCCCGCCTCCCCTTCGCGCGGCCCCGCCACTTCGTCGCGGCCCCGCCACTCCTTCGAGCGGCACCGCCACTCCGTCGCGGCCCACCCGCCGCCCTACCTGCGGCCGTCCCGCCGCCCTACCTGCGGCCTACCCGCCGCCTTACCTGCGGCCGTCTCGCCGCCCTACCTTCGGCCCCGTCGCCACCTGCGGACCCGCCCACATTTGCGGCCCCGCCGCCCTCTGTTGCGGCCCCGTCGCCGCCCTCGGCCCCGACCCCGATGTCACCTGCGGCCCCGCCAACTGAGGCCCCGTCGCCACCTGCGGCCCCGCCCACCCTTGCGGCCCCGTCGCCCACTTCGGCACCGCCCACTTGCGGTCCCGCCCCCCCCCTTCTTCCCGTCACCTGTCGCGGCTCCTTCGGGGGCCGCGACCTGGAAGGGGGGGGGAGTCGTCGCCCCCTCTGCCGCTTGCTTTGGCGCCCGGGGAGGCCGTGCGTCGCCCCCCCCCCCCCCCCCCCCCCTTCCCCCCCCCTTTCTCCTCCTCCTTTTGTTCCCTCTGCTGCAGCTGCCGCTGGGGGGGAGGGTGTGAGAGTGTGGGGAGCCCGGGGAGGGACTGGGGGTGGCGGGTGTGGGGGTGATGGGTGAGTGTGGTCCCCTGGCCCTACGGCTCCATTCTCCTCCGTTTGTCCCCCCCTCTGCTGCTCCTGCAGCAGGGGGAGGGGGAGGGGGAGGATGAGGGGATGTATGTGGTGACCAACCAGAGCATATCACCTCCTCTCCTCTCTCTCCCTCTCTCTCTCTCCCTCTCTCCTCCTTGCCTGCCCTCTCCCGTACTGCTACGCACCCTTGGTGTACCCCATTATGGGGGCGTTGACTGCATATTCTTCCCTACAGGCACTTATGGGGGCGTGTCAGAATAATATATAAATCTATATATTGTTTTGTAATTGCCTGTAGTGTAGACTAGTGTAGTTATATAATGTTTTGTTTTGGTGGTGCACCTTTCATCTTGCCTATATGTACTGCTCGCTCTATAGTGAAAAAAACCTCTTCTCTTTTCAACTCTCTCGATACCTCGCCTAGGAGCAACTCACTCGAACTCAACCAAGGCTCCTAAGCCTAACTCTTCCTAGTAATTTCGATACTTTCTTTGTGCCTCTGCAACCCGTCACCACCCCAGCTGACCATACAGCACAACGTCAATCCTCTTGTGGACTGTCGACTAACGGATATCCGTGCAACGTGCCGCAATGGCACCTAGGTGAGTTGTACGGGTTGTGTGGGGATGCGTGTCGCACAACAACCAAACACTAAACTCCTGAACTTGACATGCGTTCGTACTGGCAGGCGATCTAAGAACAAGGGGGAGACTTTGCAGCAGCAGCTTGAAAACATTATGGGAGGGAAGAAGCAAAGGCCCGTGGGGTTGGGGAAACACACTGTCTTACCCGTAACCATGATGCGATGCGGTTTATCGGCACTGATGGGGAGGGAGGCAGCGTTCAACGACGTGCTGCACGTCCTCATGGTTTCGGCCTCCAATGTTGTCGTGAAGCTTATAAATGCAGCAACTGATACTTGTAAGTGTCTGGTCGTTACAAATGTGCACCAACCTGCTAAAACTACCATGCAACCACCTAACACGCCCAACCACGCTGTTTATGGTAGGTGGGAATGTCGCCACGGTGAAAGAACAAACGAAGTTACAATTGGCGGCACAGCGAGCAAGCTTCCTCAACAGCCTACCCGGTGAAAAGGTTGACGAGGCGCAATTGCTCCAGAGAGAGCCGCTGTCAGTGGGCGGCTTCGTTTATGAGTTCGATACATACCATCTCTACGAGGATGGTGTGCTTGAGCCGGATAATGGACATGGCCATGGAGGTGACCGTCGCGGGCCGGCATATCAAGCACTACATAATGCGGGTATGTCAATGACAGGGTGGGTTTTACATGCCATTTGGTGAAGTGTCGAACTAGCATGTTGTCACACGTGGAGTTTAGACCAAGTTGTCGCACGTCGCCCTGCACCTATTTGCCCTGGCACATAGACATGCGAATTGTCTTATCCAATCCTATGGGGCTCACAACCAAGAAAATCAACCTTGTTTGAAAAAGATTCACCTATAACCAATTATCCATGTGTGCCAAAATACCCATATGCCACACATGAACACCAAACAACAGCGGCAAGAGGAGAGCATGGTGTGAGTGGGAACGGAGGATCACCCGTCATGGATTCGCCATCCGTGGGATGTGAGATTGTTGTGGAGGCGTTTGAGGCGGTGGACGACCGTACGGTTTGTGGGAGGCTATCATCGTCCATGGAGAAGAGAGCATGGCTAGAGCCCGACGGGATATGCAGCTGCGCAAAGAAAGTGATGGGTACATTTGCGTGGATGGCCGCTGGTCACAGGCAAGGGAGGCGCAGTGGTGCACTGTCACTTTCATGGATCCACGGTCACGAAAAATGTTGTTGACAGTCACCGTATGTAAAAAGGATGAGGGAAAGTCATCGACTGAGTTAGAAGAGGTTGCATTTAAGCGTGGGTTGGATAAATTGAAAGAGTGGGGATTCAATGTGACCGGGATCATAAGTGACGATGGCGGGTCATTCAAGAGGGCTTTAGTTGGTACGGGTATCAACCATCAGATGGACGTTTGGCACAAGGGTCGAGCATTGACACGACTATTCGTGAAGGCGTTTGTGGAGGCACAAGTGGGTACCATGACAGTGGGTAAGGCCAAGTCATGTTCCGACTTGTGGTCGGTTACAAAGGAGTTGTGGGCGTGGTTAACGCTAAACAATGGTGCGGGGAAGGGTGTGAGTTCTCGGTCGGCTAAAAAAACACTGATCCGCCATGTGTGTGCGAAATTGGGGACGATTCAGTTTGATGCATCGGCAAAAGCTGCTGAGAAATGGGCGTTCTTGGAGATGCGGAAGGTGTTGAAGGTCAGGGCGAAGCCGGTTGAACCACCGGCTAAACAACGAAGGGGATTGGAGCGAGAGGAGGGGATGGAAGTGCAGCATGAGCATGGAGGAGGGGGGGGAGAGAATGACGACGTCGATCCGACACCCGATGATGTCGGTGCTTCGGGTGGGGAAGCAGATGAGTTCTCGCGGATTCTGGGGATCAAGTGGGTCGACGTTGATACACCATTTGATTTTGATCCGCATCCCACGCATGCCGCCCGGGACGACATCACCCACGACTTCATCCGGGAGTCGGCCGAGTCTATGTTCAGCGTAGAGGACATCGCGATGATGACTCGTGGTGAGTTTAAATTCCAACCTTGGCTAATTTCATGCTGGAAATACAATATAACTTCGTCGCGAATGCGTTGCACATTTTCTTGGCCACAATCAGGCGAAGTGGACCCAAGTCCAGAGATGGGGCGCGATCAGCATGTGGTAGACCCTGGAGTGGGGGGGGAACCTGGAGTGGCGGGGGAGCCTGGAGTGGCGGTGGAGCCTGGAGTGGCTGAAGTGGCTAGGGAGCCTAGATTATCGGAGGAGCCTGGAGTGGCGGGGGAGCCGTTAGTGGCGAAGGAGCCTGGAGTGGCGGTGGAGGCTGAACAGGGAAGGGAGCCTGGATCATCGGAGGAGCCTGGAGTGGCGGAGAATCTTGTAGTCGCAAACGAGCCTGGAGTGGCGGGGGTGCCTATAGTGGCTGGGGAGCCTGGAGTGGCGGGGGAGCCTGAAATTGTGGGGGAGCATGTAGAAGCGGGGGAGCCTGGAGTGGCCGGGGAGGCCGGAGTGGCGGGGGAGCCTGGAATTGTCGGGGAGCATGTAGTGGACGGGGGAAACTGCAGGGGCGGGTGAGCCTGGAGTGGCGGGTGACCCCGAAGAGGCGGGTGACCCTGGAGTGGCGGGGGAGAGAGTCGTTGCGGGGGTGCCTGGATCGTCGGAGAATGCCGTTGGGAGTCGTACCCCAAGGTGGCAGGCGAGAAAAACAGGGAAGCGGAAACGCGCTCAAGAGGGGTGGTGCAGTGAGGACACAGAGAATGAAGAGGCTGATGTGACTGTTGGTCAGCGCTTCTGTATTCATTTCCACCATTGCATGATGCGCGCTGCAACAAAGGCGGAAGCGGGTCATCCAATGACTCCTCAGGAAGTGGCTGATGAAATTGGGGGGTGCGGAGACCATTGGGGGGGCATACACACCGGTTGTCAGCGAGATGGCGTGGTCCCACGTTGCGTTAGGGAAGGTTGGGGGGAGGAAAGTGCGCTGTATGAACCGGGTTCGGCAACTCACTTGACGTTCAAAGAGTGGTTGTCAGACAATTGCGGCCTCGGTACAATGGCAGCATACGTTTTAGGGGCATCAAACTGGATGAACGAGTCGTTTCACTCATTGATCACGAAGTACGCGCCGAAACGTATAGTGTTCCTTGGCAGTATGGAGGCTCGGGTGGCGTTGAGTGTGCTGCACTGGAACCACTGCGGTGGAGAGGGTTGTCAGGGAGTGGCGAACGCGCGTACGCAAGGTAACACGAGTGCGGCGTGGGACGAAAGATCGGGTGCTTGGTCCAATGGATTGGAGTTGGGTGGATGATGTCTTGGAGCGATGGTCCAACATAAGAGAGCGTGGAGGCGACGCTGCGAGCATTAGAGCCGAGGAGCAAGGGGGAGAGGCACTGTTTGGGGAAGTGAATGTGGGGGAGGAGATGGAGGACGAGGCGGAGGGCGAGGGCGCACAGGACGTTGTAGGAGTCGAGGTGGTTCCCGAAGAAGTAGAGGTGGCTGCAGTGAGGTTGGGAGCGCCCCTAGGGGACGAGAACGAGAAGCCTCAAATTAGTTCCATTCCTATTCAACTTCCTACGACGCCACCCCGCGCTGGGAGTTGTGCTCCAGCACGCACGCCATTCTCACCGCTGACGCCAACGCCAGATGCATTCGTGTTCACGAGCCCTGCAAGCGTGTGTAATTCTGTTGCTTGGGCACATACACGCCGTCGCACCAGCAACAACGCGCGCCCCAATAGAGCCCGACGGACTCTACCGCTTGGTCAGTGTTGGGTGGGGTGTGTAATCACCTCCGATCTTTTAATCATATGGCTGCATATCTACATCATTTTGTTTAGTATGATGAAGCATCATCTTTGTGGTCTCCGATCATACCGTCCCCAATTCAGGCGACCCGTCCCAGCCGCCGCAAGCATGAAGTCATTGCACGAGATGATCGGGCTACGTGCAAACGACGACGCAAAATTCCCCCGCGGTAGGGACATATGCTATGTTGTAGAGTTTCTTTTGGTTCAAATGAGTATTCTATGTTTGTTATAACGTTCAAGCCATTTTTTTCCTGTCAACAGATTTGTGGGCTTCACGCATGACCTTGGAACATAATCTCAATCTGGCATCACCGATGTGTAAGTATGGTGTCAATTAGTAAGTCTTCCGTCACGTTAGTTCCCCCCCCTCCCCTACCCTAACCCCCCCAACTCCCATTGCCATCATCTCATCCAACTTGCCACATCACCTCTTGCCCCTTGCCATCATGATTCATAAACCTTTGCCATCACCTCACACATCCTCTCTTCTCCCCCAGCCATAGCCAAGCATATAATCAACAACCTTATCTTTTTCCACCTTCCATCCCCTATCATCACCCCATGCCATCACCTTGCCTCTCCCCTTGGTCATCTCTTACCTCTCCCCCCTGTCATCACCTCCCGCCCGCATTTTCCATCACCTCTTCTCCCCCTTTGCCACCTCCTCTCATCCCCCCTTGCCATCACCATTCTTTTCCCATTGCCAGCACCTCTCATTTCCCATGGCCATCACCTCACATCCCCTTATGCCATATCATCTCATCACTCATAGCCATCATCATTCCTCTCCCATTGCCATCCAACTTGCCACATCACCTCCCGCCCACATCTTTCATCACCGCTCATCTCCCTTAGGCACCTATTATCGTGGACCCTTACCATCACCATTTATTACTGACCGCCATCACCTCCCATCTCTCTTTGCAATCACGTCTGAACCCTCTGCCCTCACATTCATCCCCTCCCTTCCCTCACACTCATTTTCTATCCGATCTCACCTCCCCTCCATATGTAGAACCACCCTACTTTCCCTCCTCTGACCACACCTCCTTTTCCCTCCCTCGAGGAACTCACCTCCCCTCCCCACGCTGTACTCACCACACATCCCCGCTGAACTCTCCTCCCTCCCCTCTCTGGCCTGTCCTCCATCCCCCCTCTTTGAATTCATCCTATTTGCTGTGCAGTGTGAACCCTTCATCCATGCCTTCACACCCTTTCCACCATCTGCCAGAAATTCCATTCTCCCCTTTCCATCTCTGTCCTTTCCATCTCCACCCTTTCCCCCAATTCGTCTCATCCCCTCTGCACCGCATGCCATGTGCCCTCTTTCCCCGCATCTCAGCACCTCCCTTTCCCCTAAACCCTTCTCCTATGCCGTCCCCCCATGCCACCTCATCCCCCTACGCACCTATCTTCCCCGTCTGCTCTCTCCTCCTTTCTCCCTCTGAACTCTCCTCCTTTCCGCTTTGCTAACATCTCGCCCATTCTCTTTCCCATCGTCTTTCCCCCTTTGACCTCTCCTCCTTTCCCCATCTGACCTCACGATACTTTCCCCTATGACACCACATATTTCTTCCCTGCCAGAACCCCCTTTGCCCTCACACAGCACCCCGCCCCCCCCCTCCAAATTGACCCACCAACCCTTTCGTGTCTGACCCATCGGCAGCAAGGCCCCTCTATACTCACCTCCCGGTCTCCCTATGACCAAATCTACTCTTTGACCTCACCTCCCCCTTCGCCATCTCCCCCCTTTCCCCCCACCATCACCTCTCGCAGCGTTGGCGGCAACTGAGCAGAGGGAGCAGAGAACGGCGTTGGTGAAAGTGTGGTAGGAGAGAGGGCGTTGGCGAAATACGGACCCATGTACGGTTATAGTGTTACAACCACGTAAAACAGTTGATAAGCTAGTTTTATTTACGCGTGGTACCAACTTTGTCATGTGGCTTCGTGCTGCTACTGTAAACATGTTTGGGGAGAGTGCGACGCACGGCGCTACATATCAAGGGGGAGAGAATTGCAGAGGTTGCATATGTCTAAGTGTGCCCATGGTGGTACCCTGCATCACATCAAGCATGGGTTGACTGGTTTAGGTGTAATGATGTAGTGATACATGTTCTTTGCTCTTTCGAAGAGCAACCTTTGCTATAATTTAGTAGCATACACACTAGCAAACGTGATGGCTAGCATTTACTCACACAAGGATTACAACATGCATATTCACACAACACGAGACTCTTGTGTCTCGACCATGTTCGCTACATCCGCGCCCAGCGGGGGGCTGCGCATGGTGAAGTCAATCTCACTAGAGATTGCCCAAGACGTGAACCAGTCTACATCTGCCTGGCTACACCCCACGTAACCTTCATCTGAAAGCTCTGGATAAAGTGACCCTATGACTACGTACACAAGCCATGGCAATGTAACGTGTGCAAACGGGTGGTCTCCTAACAGTTTGGAGTACTCGACGTAGCAACGGAAACGGTGGTTTTTTGCCACTATTGGTTGCCCATCTGCATCCTCCAGCGTGTTCTTTCCAAGACAGATATGCAGGACACTCTCAACAGTAACCCTCTCGTCCGTATCACCACTTTCCTGCCCCAGACCGAGCTCGTTTATGGCCCACTGTTCAAGCACAGAGCTTTGCTTTGGACATTCGATGGCAAACTCTGACAGGGACCAACGTTCCTTAGGATAAAAAAGCTGTGGCGGCAACCCAGTTGGCTGTACAACCTTACGTCAGGTCACCCTTTTAACGGGCCGCCAACTGCTGGCAACTACCGAGCTACCAGGTACACCATTGTTGTTCCTTTCGGGTCGGGAGGGGACGGAAGAGGTTGATCCCGCCTGTCCCTCCATACCCTCCTCGTCATCCTCCTCTCCTTCAACTCCCATCCTGAACCCCAGCCGGATCCGACGACGCCGTCGAGAATCCCACCGATACATCTTCCTTGGACCTGGAGACGAGGACATAGGACGGGGCAGAGGTAGTTATGACTGGGCGTTACGTTGAGAAGAGAGCGCGGAAGGGAGGTGATCGAAGAGGATGGTGGGATGGGAGATTGGGGGAGGGGGGTAAGGTCCTACTGACCTTACCTCTTTACCCCCACTGACCTTACCTCCCTCCCCCATCTGACCTTACGTCCCTCCCCCATCATACCTTACCTCCCTCCCCCATCTGACCTAACCTCCTTCCCCCCACTGACCTTACCTCCCTCCCCCATCTGACCTAACCTCCTTTCCCCCACTGACCTTACGTCCCTCCCCCATCATACCTTACCTCCCTCCCCCATCTGACCTAACCTCCTTCCCCCCACTGACCTTACCTCCTTCCCCCATCTGACCTAATCTCTCTCCCCCATCTGACCTTACCTCCCTCCCCTCACTGACCTGAACTCCCTTCCCCCACTGACCTTACCTCCCTCCACCATCTGACCTAACCTCTCTCCCCCATCTGACCTTACCTCCCTCCCTCATGTGACCTTACCTCCCTCCCCTCACTGACCTGAACTTCATTCCGCCCTCTATCGCCTTTCCGCCCATCATTCCGCCCTCTATCGCCTTTCCGCCCGTCATTCCGCCCTCTATCGCCTTTCCGCCCGTCATTCCGCCCTCTATCGCCTTTCCGCCCTCTCATTCCGCCCTCTATCGCATTTCCGCCCGTCATTCCGAGTTCACACTGCACATCCCTTCTCCCATGCCGCCATTCATCCACTCCTTCCGCACATCCCTACTATAATCCGCCATTCATCATCTCATTTCGCCGTTCATCTACTGGTTCTAGCCGTTCTAGGCCTTTTTCTGCCGTTCACCCTCTAGTTACACCGGTCCTACTCTTATTCCACTAAGCCCTTCTCTTTTTTCGCCGTCCCTTTTCAACGTGCACTCTAATTGGGTGAGCACATACGCCAAAGCAGGTTGGTTTGGCAAGCTCTCCTGTGCGACAAATAATGCTGTGAACGCTGCCTCGTGCGACAACTGGACCGTCGCCCTCTCGTCCCTGCAAACCAAGCGTTTTACACAGCTCCATTGTTCCTCTAATTGTACCTCCCTTCACCCTCTAACCTCACCACCCTGCACCCTCCGACCTCACCTCCCAACCTCTCACCTGACCAACCCTCCCATCTCTCTATAACCTCTCCTCATTTGCACCTCTGACCTCACCTCCCTTCCCCCCAACTGATCTAACCTCCCTTTCCTCCCTCGCGCATAACCTCCCTTCGCACTATTACGTCACCTACCTTCCCCCCAATACAAGACCCGCCTTTCCCCTCCCACTGCACACAAGTGGGTGCTCATGGGACATCATGTCGTTTACTTACCCTCTGTATCACCTCGTTTTCCCCTCTAAGAGGTCTCCATGCGGTCACATCCCTTTCTCCCATGCCACCACCTCCCTAACCCCCATGCCTTCAAGACCAATTTCATCACATGGTGCTCGCCATGCCATCCCATCCTATACCTTCCAGCGGAAAAGAATATCCCTTCTTACCTGCCATCACGGTCATTACCCCTTTATCGTCTCCCGACTTCCCCCATGCCCTCTCCTCCCTTCCAACCCTTGTCATCACATCTCTTTCCCCTCCGCCATCACATCCCTCCCACCCAGATCCCTTCTCCCCTGCCACGCCCTTCGTAATCTCAATCCGCCCTTCTTACTGTCAATCAGCCCTTCTTCCCAGCATTCCGTCCTTCCTATTGCCCTTCCCCCTCGGTCTCCCCCTCCATTCCCCCTCCCCATAACAACCCTTCAACCCGCGCCTTATTCAGCCCATCCCTAACCCCCGCCCATTCCTAATCTCATACCGCCATAACTCCTCGCATTCCGCCGTAATCCCTACTCTCATTCCGCCCTTATTCCTCTCATTCCGCCCTTATTCCTCTCATTCCATCCTTCTTCCTCTCATTCCGCCCTTCTTCCTCTCATTCCGCCCTTCTTCCTCTCATTCCGCCCTTCTTCCTCTCATTCCGCCCTTCTTCCTCTCATTCCGCCCTTCTTCCTCTCATTCCGCCCTTATTCCTCTCATTCCGCCCTCCCTGCTCTCATTCCGCCCAAATTCCTCTCATTCCGCCCTTCTTCCTCTCATTCCGCCTTTATTCCTCTCATTCCGCCCTTCTTCCTCTCATTCCGCCCTAACTCCTCTCATTCCGCCCTTCTTACTCTCATTCCGCCCTTCTTCCTCTCTTTCCGCCCTTCTTCCTCTCGTTCCGCCCTTCTTCCTCTCATTCCGCCCTTCTTCCTCTCATTCCGCCCGTCTTCCTCGCATTCCGTCATTCTTCGTCTCATTCCGCACTTCGTCCCCTCATGACGCTCCTCTTCCTCTCGTCGCGCCCGTCATTCTCTCCCTAATCCCCTCTTCCTAAACACACCGCCCTTCCTAATCGCATTCCGCACACCCTACACTCATTCCGCACGTATCAACTCTCATTTAGCCCGTCGTAGTCTAAATCAGCCCTTCTAAATCTCATTCGGCGCTTACCACTCTCATTCCGCCCGTTTCCTCTCTCATCGACGATATGGGAAGCTATTCTCATTCTAATCGTACACGGTGCAAAGAATGCTTACCAGGAATGTGCTATGTCGAATTTCACAAAGCAAGGAGACGGGAGGAAGGTTGCTTGGCGTGAGCAGTCATTTCAACCCCACAAAGTGCTTGCGTCGTCGAAGTGGGTCGCACAGTTCTCAATCAGACCCAGACCTGTCCCTTCAGGCTCGACTTGCACCCAAACCTGCACTCCCAGGTTTGTTCTGCCACCCTCTGCTAGGGGAGTTCGCCGTGTTGTTTTCACCAGCTCCCCAAAAATTTCGTCATTCGCCACCCAATCACTGACGTGCAAACCCAACCAAGTGTTAAACCGTTGAAAATTGGAGACGCGAGCTTTAAACCACTGAGAACGTGGGCTTGTCTGAAATTAGACTGTTTAATTCGATCCTTATCTCGATAATTACTACGACTGATGGATGAATGTGCAACTTACGAATCCGTGGTAGCTCAATCTGCGGCTCCAGCCATGGATTTGCCGCCAGAGGCAGAAGAAGCCGAGGATGAGGAGGTTTATAAGAAAACAAGTTCGCGCAACGATCGCGTCGTAACGATAACGAAGCAGTTAGTTTTGAAGACAACGGTGTTGGGTGAGGAAATGGCGTCGAGAACGAAGGCTATGGGTGCAGAATTCGTGTCCAGATCTGAAGCGATGCGAGAAGCGCTGAGAAGCAAGGCTGCGGTAGTCTCGAGCGAGATTAAGGAAAAAAAAGGGAACTTTGCGGAGGAGGTGGTGTCTAAAACGACGAACATCGCGGGGGAGGTGGTATCGAAAACGACGCTTTTCAAGGAAGCCCTGAAGGCCTCGTTTACCTCGTTTGGCAGCCGTGCACATCATGTCACCAAGTACGCCCCAATTCCGCGCAGTCCTCTATCGGCCATTGCTGACGCAATAAGCGTTTGCATTGCTTGTATTTGCACAGCGAAATCGCTCTTGATGCGCCTCACACACCGACCTTGGTATCTCCTGCATTGTTTACGTCGCACGGAGGAATCTTGTGAATGCGGATCTACCTACTTGCTCGACAGGTTCTCGTTTTGTTGTGCAATCACCGCAAGCTATGTCTGTTCCCCGTCAGGCTTAGCTCTGGCTTGAGCTTGTGCTGTCACGTCTAGCACTGGCTTCAGCTTATGCTGCTGCAGAATAACGTAAACTTCCCCGTTCCCCGTTCCTGTTCCGCGTTGCCCAGTTTCCAGAAAAAGATCGACGCTGACGTGGCAAAATGCGATTGCACCGAGAGCACCGACCCATTGGAGCTGCCAGCGCGTCTGCAGAGTCCGTCGAATCACCGCCAGGCCCAAACGAGCCCCCGGTGCTGCACGTATCCTTCCCTTCGGCCCGACGTTGACCGCGACTCCACAAGCGATCGCTCCACTGGTGAACCTGGCCCCGAAAATTCCATCCCATTGTACTCTGCTCCTGCTAGTAACCCCTCTGCTTCCTCCTCCTCTGTCCGCGACTCTAGCCGCGAGCCAGGTCATGAGGAGCAATCGGACGGCACACATTCGACATGTGCCCTCTCAACCCCTCCCGCTGACCAATCAGAGCCTTCGATTGCACCTGATCACGCATCCCAGCACCCCAGCTCGCAAGTGCTTGAGATGAGCGATCCAGATCATCCCGAGTTAGAGGGCGATGACGGTCGAGAAAAAGGGTTTGCGGTTCCTCGGTTGGGGTATGAAGCGCGTGATGCGGGGGAAGGGGAGGAGGACGGGGAGGAGCAGGGGGGAAGCAGCACCAACGCGGGCAGCTCGCAGGCGCAACGCACTCCTGCTGCCCCGGACTGCCCGCCCAACTCCTCCTCGAGCCTCCGCGCATTCCGAAACAGCCAATCGCAAGGAGATGCGGCGGGGAAGGAAAGGATGGGTAGCGCAGGAGCGGAGGCTGTGACACGGAGTGGAGTTGACTCAGCGGGGGATGATGGGAGCGGGGGGGAAGCAGAGGGGGGGAATGGTAGGAGCGGGGGGAAAGCAGAGGGGGGGGATGGTAGGAGCGTGGGGAAAGCGGAGGGGGGGGATGGCGCTTCTCCGTCGACAGGCTGGCACCCCACGCCTCCCGCGGAGATGCAGAGCCCGTTTGGAGTTTCCATGCACCTGGTGGGGCTAAAAACGTAAGTTCCCCCGTTTCCGTTCCCCATTCCCCGTTCCCATTCCCCATTCCCCATTCCCCGTTCCCCGTTCCCCATTTCTCGGTCCCAGTTTCCAGGAAGTACCTTGTATTGTCTCGCTTCGTTTCCCCTTACCTTATTCCGCTGCACTTTTTTTAGAACTCTCAAAGAACAGATTCAGTATTTCTAATTGCCTCGATTCGTCCCCCCTTCCCTTATCTTATTTTCCCAAATGCGATTTTCCAGCAGAAAATTTGACGCTGACGTGGCGGCAGAATGCGACTGCATCAAGATCCCCGACCCATTGGAGCTGCCAGCGCGTGTGCAGAGTCCGTCGAAGCACCGCCAGGCTGCGACGAGCCCTCGGAGCTTCACATACTCTTCCCTCTGGTCCGATGTTGACCGCTACTTTCCCAGTGATCGCTCCGCCAGTGAACTTAGCTCCGAAGGCTCAATCCCACCGCATTCCATCGCCTTTCACGCCTCTGCTGCTCCTTACCCCACTGCTTCCTCCTCCTCGATCCGCTCCTCGATCCGCGACTCTGTCCGCGACTCTGTCCGCGGTTCTGTCCGCGACTCTATCAGCGACTCTGTCCACGACTCTGTCCGCGGCTCTGTCCGCGACTCTATCAGCGACTCTGTCCACGACTCTGTCCACGACTCTGTCTGCGACTCTATCCGCGAGCCAGGCTATGAGGAGCAATCGGACGGCACGTATTCGACATGTGCCCTCTCAACCCCTCCGCCTGACCAATCAGAGCCTTCGGTTCCACGTGATCAGGGCCCGAGCAGCTTCACAGACCCCAACGCGCAAGTGCTTGAGATGAGCGGTCCGGATCATCCCGAGTTATTGGGCGATGGCAGTGGAGTAGAGGGGTTTGTGGTGCCTCGCTTGGGGTATGAGGAGCATGGGGGGGAGGAATGGGAGGGGAATGGGGAGGAGCAGGGGGGAGGTGGGCGTAGGAGCGCGGAGGAGGCGGAATTCAGCATGAACCTGTGGCTGGGGAGCAGCTACGAGGGAAGCACCACCACGAGCAGCCCCTTGGGCGGGGCTTCCGCGAGCAGCTCGCAGGCGCAACAAATTCCTGCTGCGCCGAACTGCCCGCCCGACTCCTCCTCGAGCCTCCGCACCCGTCAAAACAAGCAGTCGCAAGGAGATGCGGCGGGGAATGAAAGGGGGGGAAGGGCAGGAGCGGCCATGTCAGTGCAGGTGCGGAGTGGAGTGGAGGCAGGTGGGGATGGTCAGAGCGGGGGGGCAGCAGAGCCGGGGGATGGTGCAGCCGTGGCTGAAGGGTGGCACCCAACGTCGCCCGTGGTGGTGCAGAGCCCGTACGGGGTTTCCAAGCACCTGGGGGGGACAGAATCGGGGCGAGCGGAGGAGTGCGGGGACATGGACCGAGTGTGGGAGGAGATGTACGTGCAGAGGGAGTGTGCGTCGCTGCCCACCTCCCCCAGGGACTCGAGGCGCGCGTTGCCCGCCATCAGGCGCCTCCTCACCATCCGCAGAGGGGACTTTGTGGAGCGGTTGAGCAGCCGTGACAGCTTTTCCAGCACCGACAGCCGCGTGAGCGTCTCACAGCAAGCCGTCTCACAGCAAGCCGGTGGGTGGAATGAGGGGTGGCAGCAGCAGGGGAGGGCGGGCGGGGAGGGAGGTGTACGGCAGTGGCGGCGGCGGCGCTATGGGTCTGTGGACTCCATTCACCTGAGCTCCAATCAGCTGGACTCGGAGTTGACGCTCATAGTGGAGAGCGAGGTTGTCATGTGCCAGGTGTTGCCATCCTCTCAAGGCCTTTCCTCTCAAGGCCCTTCCTCTCAAGGCCCTTCCTCTCAAGGCCCTTCCTCTCAAGGCCCTTCCTCTCAAGGCCCGTTATTTGGAGAAGGCAGTGATGCGGGGTTGCAGTGGCAGCGGGGTGTAAGGAGTGAAACGGCGATCCCAGTGGCCCGCCCAGTCACGTCGCTTCTACAGCCACTCTCTCCTCGCCTGCCCGTGATCCGATCAGCTCCGTTCATGGGCTACAGGCAGCCAGATCCATACCTCCAGTCAATGCAGTCGCCTAGGCTGTCGCCGAGGCAGTCGCCTAGGCAGTCGCCTAGGCAGTCTCCTCAGTCAAGGCAGTCCCTTCAGTCCAGCAATGCTCCTCTATGGAAGCAGTCCTTCACGTCAATACAGTTGCCTCAGCCAATGCAGCCTCCTCAGTCAATGCAGCCTTCTCAGTCAATGCAGTCTCCTCAGTCAAGACAGTATCAGTCAAGGCAGTCGCCTCAGCCAATGCAGCCTCCTCAGTCAAGGCAGTCTCCTCAGTCAATGCAGTCTCCTCAGTCACGGCAGTCTCAGTCAAGGCAATCTCCTCAGTCAAGACACTATCAGTCAAGGCAGTCTGAGTCAATGCAGTCTCCTCAGTCAAGACACTATCAGTCAATGCAGTCGCCTCAGTCAAGGCAGTCCCGGCCGGCAATACAGGTTCCTGAGCCAAGGTGGGCCCCTCGGTCGATGCCATCACTTCACTCCCAACGTTCACCTCACTCACTGCGCTCGCCTCACCCAAACCACGACCCTCACTCACTGCGCTCGCCTCACCCAAGCCACGACCCTCACTCACTGCGCTCGCCTCACCCAAGCCACAACCCTCACTCACTGCGCTCGCCTCACCCAAGACAGTGAGAGTCGCTTCAGACCAGAAAATTGAAATAGACTTGTTCGCCTGAAGCCGTGTGTGTTCTGTCCATGGATGGCTTGTTTGTGCCAGAGGCAAATCGGCAGCATGCGTATCAACCAACTCCTTTTGAAAAGCCATGGTACAGGGCAGCACCGCTACTGGTTATTCCAGCCTGCATCCGAAGCAGCGACGCAGGTGGCAGGTCAGGCCCAATCCTCAGGTGCCCCACAGTCCTAAACCCATCCTGAAGGCTTGCCGCCACATGCTATGCTATTCCACAGGCAGGAGAAGGCTGAAATCCGCACCAGTATCACCGTCTCATCCCTTGTTTCACCACTGGCTTCTCCTGCCGTCTCTTCCAGGGACGTGGCATGCTGGACTGACCACAAAAGGCAGTTATCCGGTCAGTCCAGCATGGCATGGCGTCCCAGTGGGCTGGTCTGACTGGAAGATTTATTTGTATGGTGGCGATTCAAGTGACAAGTGACCAGTTTAACATGTGGGATATAGTGCGGGAATGTGCAGAGCCTGAAAGGTTTGAACCTTATGGGAGAGCAAGGGGGAAGCAATGGGTGCGGCGGAGCAGAGCATGAAGAAGCTGCTTCCGTCATGGCATGGCAAATACATGCCGTCTGATAAGCATGCATATGGCACCTTGCACGCTTAAGTGTTCTGAACGTGTCAAATTATATATATATGCTTGTTTAGGTTATCTAGGCTGTATGGGGGTTAGCACTAGGGGGTACACAAACCTTGACACCCTAGTCTTGTACCCTAGCCTTCACCTTATTCACTCATTCTTGCCTTAGGTTCTTAACATGGTAACTAGAGCAGGAGGTCTCTAGGACCTACGAATTGGGCCCACCTAACTGACTGCCTTGCCTACTGCTCGCGCGCGCCTCGGCGGCAGCGCGCGTCACTTATTTTTTCTCGCGCGCGCCTCGGTTTCTAGCGCGCGCATCTCTGATTTTTAGCGCACGCCACTGCTGCAGAGCCGCGCGCCGGTCCTCGTCGCCCGCGTAGCCCACGTAGAGCCCGCGCGCCCCTTAAGCAGAGCCCGCCGCCCGCGCGCGCGCTGCCTGTCGCCACGTGCAGCCAGGAGCAGCGCGCGGCACGTAGCCACGCGCAGCAGAGAGCCACGCGCGGCCCTTAGCCGCACACAGCCAGCAACCGCGCGCGCCCTACTTGTGTACTTGCCTGTGAGGCTTATTGCTGCCGAACCCACTGCCTTCGAACTGTACGGCCTGCCACGATCTAGAGCCCCACCTTAGGAGCTCAGGTGCAGCAAGCTACTGCCCTGCACGTTGCCTGTACTGCCTACTGCCTACTGCCTTTGTCTTAGCCTGCTGTCTACTGCCTACTGCCTCGTGTCTACTGCCTGCCTGCTTTCTGTTGCCTTTGCCTACTGCTGTTATGACGACGCCTAATGTTCTCGCGTTCGAGCCTGGCGGTCGCCCCATAGAGTTCACTGTGTGGCTAGACGACCTGCAACTGTTCCTTCTGACCGATGCCAAAGAGGGCGTTTCACTGTTCGATTACGTGTCTGGCACTGCCGTTGCTCCTGCTGCTGATGCTCCTGCTCTCGAACGCTCGCAATGGCAGACTCGCGATGCTGCTGCACGCCTAGCTATTAGGAACCATCTGCTGATCACTGAGCGCGCGCATTTCAACCAACACAAAACTGCTAAGAAGCTGTACGACGCTGTAGTTGCGCGCTACTCCTCCCCGGCCACTGCAGCCATAGGTCGACTCATGCTACCCTACCTGTTCCCCGACCTTTTCTCGTTCACCACTGCTGAGGACCTCATTTCTCACCTCCGCGCTACTAACACTCGCTTTCGTGCCGCCCTCTCAGCCGAGTTCTGCGCCGCAACCCCCCCCCCCCCCCCCCCCGATGTACTTCACTCTCTATTTCCTCGTTACGCGCCTCCCTGACACTCTTAGCTCGGTCAGGGACCACTTCCTAGCTCTCGACCCCCCCACTCTCACTGTCGACGACTTCGAGAAGCACCTCCTTGCAGCAAAGAAGAACATCCTCGCTGTAGGTGCTGCTCGTGGCACTCCTCGCTCTCCCCTCTTTGAGGGGTGCTCCCCCTCCCCTCTCAACCCCTCCTACGCCTCCGCAGCTGCTGCTCACGACTACCTTGGTGCTGAGGAGGTCGGGGCTGCTTCCGCTCCAAGTGGGAAGCGTCGCAGCGGCAGGGGCGGCAAGGGTGGCAGGGCAGGTGGGGGCGGTGGTGGAGGTGGCGGTGGTGCAGGCGGCGGGGGCGGTGGAGGTGGTGGGGGTGGTCGTGGGGGTGGAGGGGGTGGAGGTGGTGGTGGGGGCGGCGGAGGCACTGGGGGCGGTGGAGGGGGCAGCAGCGGCGGTGGGGGAGGAGGGAGCGGTGGTGGCAGTGGTGGTCAGGGCCAGTAGCAGCCGCAGCAGCAGCAGCAGCAGTAGCAGCAGCAACAGCAGCAGCGTCAGCGCCAGACCCCCACTTCCCAGCGGCTTCTTGACTGGTATGCCGGGCGTGGGGCTTCTGGGGGTCCTGGTCGCTGCCCCTATATCATCCGCACAGGTCCTCGCGCTAATCGCGAGTGCACAGGGTGGCACACTAAGCAGCGCTGCTTCGCTCGACTTAGCGACGCCTGGCGCGCCAAGTTCCCTGATGCTACTGAGTTCCCCAACTGGGCAGACTTGCTTAGGCGTGATGTATCAATCTTTGATCTTGACTACGGGGCTATTCTAAGTGCTATGTATGCATTGTCTGTTAGTGCTGAGGGTGACTGCTACTTGGGTGTGCCGCCGGATCGTGGTATAGCCCCTGGTATAGCCCCTGCTGCACTAGGTGCTTGTGAGTCTGCTCCCCTTGGTACTGCGCCTGCACAGGCCTTGCACACCTTTATACTTGACTCTGGTGCTTCCCGCTGTTTCTTTCGCGACAGTACCACAGTCACTCCCCTTCCTGCATCTGTTCTTGTCTCACTGGCTGACCCCTCTGGGGGCCCAGTGCTTGCACGGTCTTCCACTGTGCTTCCGTGTCCGGCGGTCCCGTCTGGTGAGCTGTCTGGTCCCCACCTCCCCTCGTTCTCTACGAACTTGGTTTTTTTTTTTTTTTTTTTTTTTTTTTTTTTTTTTTTGTAGGTGAAATAGCATTATACAACGTACAACGCAAAACACCGTCGGTCGTAACCGGAGCTAGAGGGCATAGGATGCGGGTGTTGACACCTTCACCCCTGGCCGACAGCGTGTGGCGATCTGCACGTACTCCCAGACCGGCCGCCACCTGGCCACGTTCACCCGTGCGCCAGGGATCGAGTCTGTACACCCTCACCACTGAGTCCCGCTTCACCCCTTTGTCTCCCCAGCTGCACGCGATTGCTCAGGTAGCTACCCAGTGTGAGTGTCGTCGGCTGTCTCACGACACCCTCCTGTGGCGCCACCGCCTGGGACACCCCTCCCTGCCTCGCCTTCGTGGCATGCACTCTCGCTTTCTGGTTTCTGGTCTTCCCAGGTCTCTGCCTGCCCTCCCTCCCTCGCCTGCGCCGCCCTGCATTCCTTGCGTCGAGGGGCGGCAGCGCGCCGCTCCTCACTCCTCCTCGTTCCCTCCCACAGAGGCTCCACTGCAGACTCTCTACCTGGACGTGTGGGGCCCAGCCCGCGTCCGTCGACAGGGCCACGAGCGGTACTTCGTGGTGGTTGTCGATGACTACACGCGCTACACCACGGTCTTCCCCTTGCAGCGCAAGGGGGATGTCCCTGATGTTTTGATCCCCTGGATCCGCGCTACTCGTCTCCAGCTCCGCGAGCGGTTCCAGTCGGACTTTCCTGTCCTGCGTCTGCACTCTGACAGAGGAGGTGAGTTCTCCTCAGACCTCTTGGCCGCCTTCTGTGCGGAGCACGGCATCCGCCAGACTTTCACGCTTCCGGCCTCTACGCAGCAGAATGGGGTTGCTGAGCGCCGCATTGGCTTAGTCATGGAGGTCGCTCGTACCTCCATGATCCATGCGGCTGCCCCCCATTGTATGTGGCCGTTTGCGGTCCGGTACGCCGCGCATCAGCTCAACCTTTTGCCCCGTGTCTCCTTGCCGGAGACCTCGCCCACACTGCTGTGGACGGGGAAGGTTGGCAACGCGTCGCGTTTCCGGGTCTGGGGTGCTCGTGCCTTTGTTCGCGATACCACCGCGGACAAGCTCTCCCCTCGCGCCATTCCTTGCGTCTTCCTTGGCTTCATCCCTGACGCGCCTGGCTGGCAATTTTACGTCCCCGCCTCGTGCCGTGTCTTTGCGTCCCAGGACGTCACCTTTGACGAGTCAGTCCCCTTTTACCGCCTCTTCCCCTACCGCACTGCTCCTCACCCTCTCCCGCCGCTCTTTCTTGCCCCAGGTCCTCCCCAGGTAGACCCCCTCCCCGTGCCAGGTCCTGCTCCTTCAGGTGTTTCTCAGGTAGACCCTCCCATCCCTGCGCCTGTTGAGGTCACTGGTGACTCCGGTCCTGCTGGTGGTGGTGCTGTCCCTGGGGGTGCGGAGCTTGGGGGTTTGCAGCGTGGGGGTGCTGAGTCTGGGGGCACTGGGCGTGAGGGGCCTGAGGGTACGGAGTCTGGGGGTGCTAAGCCTGCGTGTGCGGAGCATGGGGGTGCTGAGTCTGGGGGTGAGTCGCCTGAGGGTCCTGAGACTGCTGTTACGCTGTCCCCTTGGAATAGCCGTCTTCGTCCGCATGTGCGTCTCACCTCCCAGCAGCTGCATGACTGGTACGTTCGCCGTCAGCGTCGCGCTTCTGCACCTCAGGGCTCTACTGCTGGGGGTTCTTTTGCTGGCGTTACTGGAGCTGGGAGTGGTGCTGGTCCTTTGCCTGCTGGAGGTGTTAGTGTCGCTGGTCCCGGAGGTGCTCGTACTGGGAGTGCTAGAGCTGCTGGGGCTGACGGTGGCGTCTTTGAGGGTGCTGCTGCTGGTGGCACTGCGGTTGGAGACCTTGGGACTGGAGGTGCCGATTCTGGGGGTGATGCACCAGGTTGGGCTGGTGTTGAGGGTTCTGGAGCTGCTGGAGATGCTGGGGCTGCTGAGGGTACTAGGACTGCTGGAGGTGCTGGAGCTGCTGAGGGTACTGGAGCTGCTGGAGGAGCTGGAGCTACTGAGGGTACTGGAGCTGCTGAGGGTGCTCGAGGTGCTAGAGCTGCTGAGGGTGCTGGAGGTGCTGGAGCTGCTGAGGGTGCTGGAGCTGCTGGAGGCGCTGGAGTTGCTGAGGGTGCTGGAGCTGCTGGTGCTGGTGGCACTACACAGCCGCGCCTGTTCTTTGCTCCGCCGTCTCCGTCGTCTCTGCCCCCGCCTAGCTCCGTGCTTCACCAGGTTCTTAGCCTCCCGTCATCTACTGGTCATCCGTTACAGCCTCGCTCACCCCTGCCTGCTCCTTCTCCTTACACTGAGCAGACAGGGGGCCTTGCTGAGCGTCGTGAGCCTTCGTCACGTCCTGTCTCACCTGTCCTTTCCGGTCGTTCCAGTCGTCGTGTTCATCGTCAGCGTCAGCCGGCTGTCCCCGGCCCTTCCCTTGTCCGTCGTCCTTCCTCTCTGCCACCACGTGTTCCCCTGCCGTCTCCGCCAGCGTCCTCTCTACCTGTCGTTGCTGACCCTGAGTCTGACCGGTTTTGTGCTGAGCACCCTACTGTCACGCGTCTGCTAGCAACTGTTGTTGCCGACCCGTCGTTTGAGTCTGCTGCTGCGTCTGCCTTAGTCGCTGAGCTTGTCGACTTTGCTGCTCACTGTCACCTAGACTACGCCACTAGTCTTGTTGCTGAGTCTGAGTCTGTCTGTCCTCCGTCCGTCATGGGTGAGTGTGCTCTTTGCATGGACGTCCTTGAGGACAGGCAGAAGGACCTCGAGTGTCTTGCAGCCGCTGCGCCTCATCTCGTATCCATGCTGCTTGCCCTTGAGGGAGACCCGGATGCACCAGACATCCCGACTCCACGATCATACGCTGAGGCGATCGAGGGTCCCTACTCCTCTCAGTGGCAGACAGCCATGGACGCAGAGATGGCATCCTGGAAGTCCACAGGCACCTACGTTGACGATGTTCCCCCTCCTGGGGCGAACATCGTCAGTGGCATGTGGATTTTCAGGGTGAAGCGGTCCCCAGGTTCTCCACCTGTCTTCAAGGCTCGCTACGTTGCTCGAGGCTTCAGTCAGCGAGAGGGAGTTGACTTCTTCCAGACCTTCTCCCCCACCCCGAAGATAACTACTCTTCGGGTGTTACTGCACGTTGTCGCTCAGCGTGACTACGAGCTTCACTCTCTTGACTTCAGCACAGCTTTCTTGCAAGGCAGCCTGCACGAGGAGATCTGGCTGCGCCGTCCACCTGGCTTCACTGGGTCGTTCCCTCTTGGTACCCAGTGGAGCCTCCGACGGCCAGTCTACGGTCTCCGCCAGGTGACACGTGAGTGGCACGACACACTGAGGACAACTCTTGCGGCTCTTGGGTTTGCCCCGTCGACTGCTGACCCATCGCTGTTTCTGCGCACCGACACTTCGCTCCCGTCGTTCTACATCCTAGTGTACGACGAGGACTTGGTCTTTGCCACTGCTGACACTGAGGCGCTCGCCCTGGTGAAGTCGGAGCTGCAGAAGAGACATACGTGCACAGACCTAGGTGAGCTGCGCAGCTACCTTGGCCTGCAGATCACTCGGGACAGAGTACGCCGCACCATCACACTGACTCAGTCACACATGGTGCAGCAGGTCCTTAAGCGCTTCGGCTTCACCTGGTCCTCAGCACAGGCCACTCCTCTGGCTACAGGTCACTCGCTCTCAGCTCCACCTTCGGACGAGTCCGTAGAGCCGAGTGGTCCTTACCCAGAGCTAGTGGGCTGCCTCATGTACCTGATGACTTGCACTCGTCCTGACCTTGCGTACCCTCTTGGCCTTCTGACTCGCTACGTGGCTCCTGGTCGGCACCGAAAGGTGCACATGGATGCTGCTAAGAGGGTACTACGCTACTTTTACAGTACATCGGGCATGGGGCTCGTGCTTGGAGGACGGGGTGACATTGTCCTCACTGGTCACTCAGACGCCTCTTGGGTTGACGACCAGGCTACGCAGTGGTCGTCACAGGGTTACACCTTCAGCCTTGGTTCTGGTTCAGTTTCCTGGCATTCTACACGTTCGTCTTCAGTTCTCGGCTCCAGCTGTAAGGCCGAGATCTACGCCACAGCCATGGCTGCACAGGAGCTACGCTGGCTCACCTACCTGCTGACCGACTTGGGAGAGCGGCCTTGTTCTCCTCTAGTTCTGTACGTCGACAACAAGGCCGCCATTGCCTTGTGTCAGGAGCATAGGTTGGAGCACAGAACAAAGCAAATAGCTCTGCGTTACTTCCTTGCTCGAGAGGTGCAGCAGCGTGGCCAGCTTCACCTTGCTTACATGGCCACTCGGGCCAACACTGCT